CATCCCAGTAATTTAAACTGTAGAAAACACAACTCACTTGTTCAGACGTATGTTCATTTGGTATTAAGGCATCTGTTGATAAGGCACCTAAAGCATTTTTGGCCTATTAAAATAAAGAAAGAAACATTATTTATGTTTGTTAAGTGTAGGCCTAATATTGATGTTAATTTTGTAACCTGACAGTAAAAATATAAGTCTACAAAATCTATATTTTTGTTAAGTTTTATTTCACTATTGAATGGTGGTTGATAAATTACGACACCAAATATCAATAAACATTTGGGTTGATTGAAAAATTGATTTAGACTCATTACAAGCCGACATTAGCTAAATTCGATTACAACATGTCCATTACTGAATTTATTAATATACAATATTTGTTTCAATTTATTGTTTTTTTCCAATAGATTTTCAAAAAGTGAATGTAGACAATTTTTTTAAATTTGATGTTTCCATTATAAAATTATAAGTGGACCAGATAAAATTATAAGTGGACCAGTAATTTTATACCCTGTTGTATACATAAGAGGTAAACAGAAACACTGTATGAGGACATGACATCTAATTTGGATACATACCAATACTTTTTTATTATGTAGCGATCGTAGATAGAATGGTTTAACCAGTAGTAACACTGGCACTGATGCTACGGCTGCTATCACAAACACTGTTTGAATAATTTGCTGGAAAAAAAAGTAAAATAAACAACATTTGTGACTGACCGATAATGAGTGAAATGCCCCAATGGAAAGCAACTAAAAAATTATTAAAGTGAAGTTAACAAGCCCCCAAACTATTTAATATTTTGACTATATTCCATAAATGGACTTACTTGGTTATCATAAAAAGTAGCCTGCACATCACAGTTCGATTTAGCAGGATCATATTTAAACATAAACATGTTAATATATTCTGAAACATAATAAAAACATTACATTACATAAACATAGGTTGCCAGGCAATGAAACATACACCCACAGCAGATAAAGGGTCCAGGTAGTCAACAAGGGTTGTCACATCCGTTCTTTGTAGGTAATGGGATCATTTACAAAAATTGTTCAAGAGTAACAACCCACAAAGTATTGATCAGAAATAATTAAAATTTGATTGATTTCTAGTTCTTACAAGTGCTAACATTTGTTGTATCATAAATGTACTCATAATCACTGTGTATAAAATTCAAAAAATCATATAATACCTTTAGCCTCTGGAGTGGCCTCAAACAATTGGAAATGATAGACTGACGAACAGACAGGAGAAGGTGACAACAATACATGACCACATTTCAATGAGAGCATATAAAAACTAAATACAGATTTTTTGTCTTGTCTGTTTCCCAGTCTTCATATGTATCAATTATCTCTTATTGTGTCAAGATACCATACATAATCCTGTATTCTTAAACTAGAATATGGGGGTGGGTGGCCAAATGGTCTAACATGTTTGTTTTAAATCATAAGACTTGTTATCTATGTCAGCCATGGGTTTTAACCCAGGCTTGTATGAGTCCATGAGTAAGGTTGAGTGTCTACCCTCAATTTTCTTCAGGAACTCCTACACTGGTTTTCACCTTCTGAAGATCAAAGAGAGTGAGCAAATAATTTGGATAAAAAGATACATCTGATGACCCAACTAGTGTTAAGTGTATTGTAAAAAAAACCAAAAAAACAAGGATGAAGGATGAATTATATCTTGACTTCCTAGTTCGCTTATAGCTTATGTCTATGTTTCGTCTTGTTGTCAACATATTATTTCAAGTCTAGTTACAATGATTCAGCATACAGATGAAGAGATAAAATCTTACGAATTAAAAGAGCTGGAGCACAACCAGACTGTGTGACATCAAATACCAACCATTTATAATATACCATAAATATCAAATAACCAAATAGAGCCAACAAAAATATTAATTCAGGTAAAAATTCACAGAATACGGCTATAACAATTTTGAAATGCCTGAAAAATATACCATAATCAATTTAAATAATTAAAAAGTTCTCTTCACAAAATATATACAATAACCCTTTTTTATAATTAATAGTATTCTTCATGATATGTATACAGTAATCATTTTGAATAATCAATAGTATTCTTAATGAAATATAAATCATTATATGGAGCAATCTTTTGTTTTCTTTTCAGCACACATTTTTTATTTGCTTTCATGACTGATATACAAAACAAAAGTAATTCAGTTGATATAGGAAAGGTGTTCTCTATTGATGACCTGGCCCCGAGTTCACAAAGCATTCTCAGACTTAAGTTAAGAATTTACTCAACTTTCAATCACTGATGAAATATCTTTGAACCAGAAACAAAAAACTTTGCACATGGTTTCTTATTGGTGTATTTTTTACATTAAAACAACAAAAGTTTTATAAAGGGCTATATTTAAGTTTAATTAAGGCGAACAATTTTGAGTAAATTCTTAACTTAAGTCTGAAAATGCTGTGTGAACACAGGACCCGAATTTGGATGTGTTTTCTGACTAATACAAACAAATTAATACACTCTAGATTAAATAGGCTAGCAATATTTACAACTGAGAAAAGTGACTATTTGAATGAAGATGTAAACTGTTTATATTGTGACTAATGTCTTACCACCACTACATGGATTTTGGATTTCATGAACCCTATAAATTTATTATTAAAATGAAATGAGGTTTAACGTCCTACTATTCTGCTCGGACAATTTATCATTATACTACAGTGATCATGGTATGTATTTTATATAATATAATCTGTCTAGTATATTGGTATACAACATTCAAAAATTATAATAATACTAACATCATACATATACTTACAGATGATTGAAAACACTTAAACATACACCAAACAACATCTGACTTATACCCAATATCACAGCCATTTTCATTTTAAACGAATTTAAGAAAGTAATCTTATTTTTTGCAGATTGCCATATCTAAAAAATATACAAATCAATATAAATACCTATCTTATCTACAAACTATGATATCTTGAATTGTATACTAAATATATAGCTCATAAATCATGTATTATTACTAGTATATGAGTAAATTATTATTAAATGTATATGAAGATTTAACTTACAGGATCAATACCAAATGGATAAGGTGTACTGTTTCTATAATATATTGCAGGATCAAAAATTAATGTGGCTGTTTCTCCTTCTCCCATCATGTCACCCTCACTATAACATATATAATTATATTATTCAAGGGGATCTTAATTTCAATTAATTTTTACCAAATTTACAGAATATTTTTCTCTTTACAGAAACTTAATCGGATATATATTTTCATTCTAAAGGAAAAGCACATGTAAACAAGACATTCTCTGGAAAATACATTAATGTATATAATTCTGATATCTAAAATGTTTTTGTCCACTGAAAAAACGATATTAATACACTTAATCATGATTTAATATCAAGATACAAATTGGTAGTGGGCGCTGACATTGTATCCAAATGTGTGACGTCATCTAGTGAAGACCTAGTTCACTTACATGTACCTTTAGAATAGTGCTCTGCTCAAGATAATTTTTCTGAGTGCCAATTAATGATTCCGACTTTTTGTTCTGTCTGTGACTATAGCTAAACACGATTGGACTGGCATCTGGTTTTAAATGTTATTTGCTTTTATGACTGATATACAAAACAAAAGGTATAAACTACGTAGCTCCATTATCACCGGTACCAACGTTCAGCAAGCAGAGAATTGCTCTGTGCCTTTCTGCTGGTCTTCTGGATGTGGTTGGGAATTTTAAAATAGGTCACTTTTTGATTTTGCTGGTTCTATTTAAACACCCAAAAGCTGCACATTCAGGCATGTCATCTATAAAGTTAGTGCACTCTGATTTCAGTAGTTTGTCGACATAACTATTAATCTTATTTTTGATTGGTTGATAATAATGGCTCAGAACATCATGCCGTCCACTGCAGTGATATTTATGAAAGAGAATAAGCCTTTTTAGTCCTTAAAATTAAATATTTTTTCTAATTATAGTAAAACATTCTAGATATTCAATTATAAATCTTACAGAAAGTGATAGATATTGTTATTAATGAAATAATACATACGTATAATTAGAATGCCAAGCAGAACCAAATATATTAAACGATTTAGAAAAAGCATCGTTGTAAATCATTCCAGTATAAATTGAAAACAATCCCATCAACATAATAATATAACGTCCTCCAAAAAATGTATTCCATATCTGTAAAATTAAACAATAGATATATAAGACAGTTGGTTATAGTTGGTTCATGTCATTCTCAAGGTTCAAAAACAAGACTATACCTCCAAACTGATTAAAATACAGATATATATTTCGTTTCGTTTTCTTATACTTTCGATGGCCTCTACTCCATTAAGATCTGACTAGTTGTAGTGGGGGGTTGCCTCAGGGGTCATACAAGTGGCTTTTGACCATATGACATCAGCTATTTAATTAACCAATCAGCATAAATGTTTCTAGTAGGATACCCACAGTTCCGTGCATCGTATGCCAAGAACTCGCTGTAACAGACCGCTTCATTGGCTAATCCATCACATTAACTAAAACATGGGTTATATAAGAACTCTTCTAGATCCTGGTGCAGAAAAGACAAGTAAAACGAAATTTTGAACTATAAAAAAACGAAACGAAACAGGATTTGAATTTTAATCAGATTGCTATACACCTACGCATCCAATTAGTTCCTGCTACACCCTTAAGAACTGTGCTTGATGGTACTTGAGAATGCATTTGTATAAACTATGTAGCTCCATATTAAATCAATACAACTGAAATGCTGCATTAATGTCTTCAATTTTTCATACAACTTAACAGTTATACTATCTAGCTTCGTTCCAACTGATCAACTCAATAGTAATATTCTCTAGGTTTGTTCCAACTTATCAACTCTACGATATATTCTCTTTAGCTTTGTTCTATCTGTTCAACACACTAGCTTTGTTCCATCTGATCAACACAATTATGTATTCATTAGCTTTGTGCAGATATTGTTGATCATAGGACAGAAGCCACCATTTCATTACTCAACCTTACCTCGTTGTTTGATTTAGCAGCTAGAAGACTTTTTTCTTTTAATACCATCCACAATCCAAACAAAAACATTAGTGTTCCATGTCCAGCATCACCAAACATAACGGAGAACAAGAAGGGGAAGGTGATGATAGCATAAGGTGCTGAAAATAGAAAATTAGAAATCAAGATATTATTAGTGATTATATTGTTAATTATGACTCAATTTAAATTAAAAAAATGGTTTCTTAATTCACGTTAGATAATGCCTTCAAGAGAGACCGCTCATGTCCTTTTCTCTTTCTCTGTACAATTATGTCAGAAATCACATTTATTGAGATTTTCAACAAAAAAAATAAAAGGATAACAAATTTATGCTAAATTGACCTGGATTGACTTCCTCATAGGTAGCGATACCATAGGCATTAACGATGTTCTGAAATCCTTGAGTAAATCGTGATGTCTTGAAAAACGTTGGAGGTGTCTCATGAGTTTTCATTGGGTGAAGAATACTGGGAATTGTACTTCCACTCAATTTCTGTAAAATAATGAAAAGAATAAACATTTGTCTTTTTGTGTCTTATTCCACCCTTACAATGATTGATTTATTCAAATTGCTATCAATCAAAGACTTAAATAATCACTGAAAAAGCATGCATTTGAAAATAGAATGAATGGACTACCAATAGTGCATGTATAACCCATAACCGCTGAGTCATTGGCGACCGTCACACTGTATCACTTATGGTCAATCAATGATTATTTGTTGGAAAAGGAAAATTTAAGTAACGATGCAATTTAACAAATTAAAACAATATGAATGATTGAAGTACTTTACCTCTCCGTCTTTCAGAACTCTACGAACATCCTCTAAACTCTGAATAGGACACCAGCCTTCAGCAATTAAACTGTTGTGAGAGATATCAAAACTAAACATGTTTAGTGTGTGATAAATAGCTTTGATTTTCTCCACTTTAATAATCCAACTTCTGATTTCCTTCTGGGCACCAACTAACACTCTTCTTCTGTGATCTTCTGTTTGATTCAAAACCTAAAAAATAAATTCCAAATTGTATTATGACACAGTAACATTGTGTTGAAGGTCCATTACATTTTTGAGAAACCAGAAAGAAAGATAATGTATGAGTTAAAACCATTATGGCAAATATTGTCAACTACATTGAGAAAATTGAGTGACCTACAAGTTCTGTTAGTTCTCATGATAGATGTGGTAGTATCAGTACCTAACCAAATATGGCTTATAGACTTCAGCTATAGTAAAATTTGATGATATTTTCCTTTTCAGTTGCTATATAACTTGTAACCAACTTGTAACCTGTAAGATATTTAATGTATACTGTACTTACTGTTTTCAAGTCTTCTAATCTGGTGGTAACTCCACGGAACATCTCTTGTCTTTCTTGAGATGATTCAGGACATGGGTAGAGTGCAGCTTTGAACCTGAATGCAAGAGAGAAAGAAATTAAGTGTCTACAATTCCATATGTTCCATTACAACAAATGACAATTTTTCAATATAAAGTATACAGGATGGTTCTTCGAAGGAAAGCTATAATGCAAAGGAAATAACTGAAATCACACTCCTTAGGGATGTGTGATGAAATGAGCTCAATTAGAAGCATAGTAGATTGTTCGACAAAATGTGATAGGCAGATGGGCGGATGAACCCATTTTAATAGTCCCTGCATTCTTTGAAAGCTGGGAACGGTTTATTTTTTTTAAGAAAACTCCCCCAGGAATCAAGATTTTTAAGAAGGATGGTCTTTTTTTTTTTAAGGCCTTGTACAGTTATAATCACATGTAATCTTACCCTTCACAAATCTTTTTTACTCTAGCCTTCAACTGCTCTCCTTGGAAGAAAATCATGAAAACGGCTTTAATCTTTGGCTCACCCTTAAAAAGCAAAATAAAGCAAAATATAATACTAATAAATGTCAACCTAAACAATAGAATTAAAATCAATGTACAATATTTAGATCCCAGTATGTTAAATATAGAACTTACAGTTTGAGGATCTTCCAAAGATTGCTGGATTTCTTCATATCGTAAAAATACATTTCCACGACAAGCAAACCAAAGCATTCTCTCAAATGGTGGAACTTTTTCACGAGGTATCACACCAGCAATAAAACTGAAATAAAGTTGAAATAAAGCAATCATGTAAGTCTAATATCTTATACCTGCTAACAGAATAAGGATAATTGGGAATTGAGTAAGTTTGAAACTTGTTAATGTGATATTTGAGAGAGTTATCATCAGCATATTTTGAAACCTAATGGAATTCTTTATTAGGGAATAAGGAAGAAAGTTATTGAATTTTGGATTTTTCAAGTTTCCAACATGGGTTAGATGATTCATTCGAGTATAATAACATGGATGTCAGGTCCCCAAATACATCTATAAGCAGAAATATACCTGTGCTAGCTCATGGTTTAAAAGGATCAAATCTTCCTTATGCACAAAGGTTTAAAAAATTCCATAATATTTTTGTCCTGTATCGTGTTCACAAGTTTGAAATGTCAAAATGTGTTTGAAAGGTTATAATCTGATCAAGTTGAGTATTTACAATAAATTGTGCATGACAACAGACTGATGACACATAGAAGAGGTGACAATACGTCTGCATTAAATGCTGACTCATAAAGAATTCATCCTCATGATTTTATAGCTAGATCAAATGACCTTGTATGGTCAATTTTTGTTATAGAAAATAATGAATCTGTTTAAATTTACATTACTAGTTGTGTAAACAACTTACCCAAGTTGAACAGCCTGACCCGATGTTGTTCCTTCATCATGTACTAGAGCATGCTGGGCTTCCCCAACAATATTACTCATTTCTTGACCTTGCTGTAATAATGAGAAAAACTTTGTTAATAGGCCTGCAGCCAAAATTTCTAGCTTGCTTAGAAACACAATTCCGCTGACGTCCTCCCTACTAAACATTTTTCCAAGCAAAATGTTTGCAATAACTCTTTTTAAGGGCCAGATGAAAATTGTGATAATTGTTAAGTTTATATGTGCTATATTTATACTAACAATTGTGAAATTGACATAAAACTAAATATTGGCAAAAACACCCAAATGCCTTCATCCCCGATAAAGAATATGGTGGTATTGGTTAATTTTTGATTTAAACCAAAATGCAGAAAACATAATGGACAAGAGAGTAATCTCCCTTGCTGTCTTATGTCTTCAATATTGCTGTAAGAACGAGAAAATCTTTGTGGAAGTGGACACTAAATAAAGCTATTTCACACACACACATGAAATTGTGAAATTGACACAAAATTAAACATTGGCAAAAACACCTAAATGCCTTCATCCTTGGCAAAGAATATGGTATTGGTTAAATTTTGATTTAAACCAAAATGCAGAAAACATAATGGAGAAGGGAACATACAGAATTTTGGAAATATGTTAATGGTAATAGAGAGTTACCTCCCTTGCTGTCAAATGTCTACAATAATTGATAACAGTATTTCAGGTGCATGTTGACTGCTGATGCTTCATGATGCACAAGACCATGTTTGAGCACACAAGCCCAATATTTATATAGTTAATGGGGTTTCAGGGACCTGCAAGGGTTGGTGAGCGGGTGTTTACCCAGAAATTATGGGTGGAGCGCCTTGTCTAATGAGCAAGGAGATATGTTTGACATTGGTTGAGCAATATGGTTATGAAGTAATAAAAGACCAGAATCTGTCCGTAGTTTTGTAAATCGCATTGAAACCATGTGATTATTTCCACTAATATATAAACCCACATATTTAAGGCCAAATATAGATACAAGACAAAATCTAATTATTTATTGAAGTAAAACAATCATTAAAAATAAAAAATTACACAGTTACTCTTCACTTAAAATTCCATCAAAGTTAGTCGTTATCATCATCGCTATCACTACAATTATAAACATCAAATTCGGTTTCTTTAACAGTCTCTTTGTTTCATTTTCACATTTACTACACTTACAGATTAGACAGGTTTCCCCCTGCCAGTGGTATGGGATGGGGAGGGGCTGGAAGGACAATGCCCAGTCGTTCGGATGGGAGGGAAAACAATAGTTTAAACAAAATTTGATTACCTTGTAGCGGAACTTCATGCTAGAAATTTTGGCTGCAGGCCTATAAAGGGGGTTCTTATAGTTTCAATCAACTGGTACTTCAAAAGTTTCATAATCAATTTCAAAATCTGTTATTATTTTTTTAAGAATTGAACCAAAAGAGTAAATAAAAGAATATGCTTTACTTACTGAAGTAAAAAATGTTTGAGTTTTTCTCAAGACTTCTCTCAATTCTGTCAGTTCTAAGAAATTTCTCTTCAAAGCCTCAGCATTGGTATTGACCTCTCTTAATTCACTTTCTATCTTTTCAAATGTCGCCTCTAAATCTACCATTTCTTTAGGTGCAGGGGCTTTTGGATTTTCACCATAATCAGGTATCTTTAAATGCTCCTTCTTTATTTCTTTCTCAATATATCCTACAAGGCAGATAATAAAATTCAGTGTAACTTATTATCAATATGGTGTGAATTTCCTCAACAAAATTAATGAAAAGTGATATCAAGTGTTCTAGAAATATCATCTTTTGATTGTGTCAACAAAATATTTTTTATGTCATGTAGGCTACTATGGTGATGAACAATGATCTAAATATAACTTTATTTTCATGATTGATCGAGTTAATAATAATAATAAAGAGCAACCATCAAATCTAAAGGAAAGAAAATAATAAATGCACTTTATCATAGCCACAATTTATCAAAATAAAAGAATATAGTCTAGAATATCACTGTTACTGTTATAAAATAAAAATGTTACTGTTAGCATGAGAGGACAAAATTACATGTTACTGTGTGATTCAATTACTTTAAATTCTAGACATCAAATTGTTTATTAAAAATATGTCACATCATGAATGGCATTCTAATACATACGTAGCTTTCTTTCCATTTCTTCACATCTCCTTACTTCACTTACAAATTTCTTCTGGAAAGCATTGACTTTCATATTTAACTGTTGAAGAAATAAATAATAATTGGATTAAATAAAAGCATGTATCAAGGTGTTATATGAACAAAATTAAAAAGAATCTTTGACAGTCAAGATCCTAAATACATAGACATCGATTGGAAAATATTAGAAGAAAAATACTGGAAGAAAAACTTTTTTGGACAAGAGACAAATTTGAATGTAGCATGAGCACTAGCAATTTCCAGCAATGTGTGAGTAATGTATGGTAGACACTGAGGGTGACACTATGTAACTATTGAATTTGTCTAAGAAACTTCTTTAAAGTACACAAGGAAATATTTAGTTTTTTGATGATTCAAATTTTATTAAACTTACAAAATATTTGTAGAAAAGGTTATTTTTATTGCCCTTGCTTGTAATACTCAAAATATTAAATTAAAAGAAGCATATTGTGACAAAATATGGATTCATTCAGAGTTTTGTATGCATTAATATAATATTTAAATGGTTATACTAACATCTTTAAACTGAAATATTCCAAGTTCTCCCAGTTCTGATACTACGGCATACGATGCTTCAGACTGGAGAAATAACTGACACAAGGTCATCTTCTCACTTCTAAACAACGACCCCATCTTGAATATCTGTAGTTATCACCAATCAATTATTGTTGTTTTTCTGAAAATAGAATAAAATGAAATATTTATGGTAAAAGAAGATTAGCAACTTTTGGAATTAATGTTCAGTACTGAAGTAACACAGGCCTGTGTAAATAACATAATCCACAATAGGAGTAGAACTGCCTTGCTTTGTTTATCTGCGGTTTAAAAGTAGGTAGTACTGGGTATACATATTCTATAATGACAATCAACAATGTTATTAAAAAAACTAATTAATATTTCTATTTAAAAAATGAACAAAAAAATCCAGGAACCATGCCCCCCTGCTTTTTAACAGAATGTATAATTTTGAGCTTAAAGATCATGACAACTACTAACACAAAACAGCCCGAGAGTAAATAAAGAGGGCCAGAATTGGATGTAGGATGTAGGTTATCAAACACTCCTTTAATGTCAAATGTTTATATTGAAAAAATGTAATGTAACAGTTCAACATCCTACTTTTTTGCGCTAACCGTGTTAATGAAGCATACTTCATGCTGTGCGTTATGACTCTTGCAATTTTTAAGGTAAGTACACATGTCATAGGGTTCATCCTTTCTGATTCCAATGCTTTACACCAAATTTGAAAACAAATGGGGTTAATCATCTTACAGTCCTAATGCTTCACACCAAATCTGTTAAAAACTGTAGTCTTTACCATGTTGAGAGGTAGGTCCATAACTGAATATCACTGAAGCCTGAATATCAACAGGATTCATCCTCTCATGACCCAAATGCTCCACACCAAATACATAGTATTAATAATTCCATTACAAACTGCAGCCTTTGTTAGTTAACAAGGTTTTCAGAAAGGGGGAGTTAACTACAGATTGGAAGGTCGCAGAACACTGAATATTGATAGGGTCCATCCTCTTATGAATCAATTAATTCACACCAAATATAAAAGGAATTGTTAAAAACTGTAGCTTTCATCGCGTTAACAAGGTTTTGGAAAAGGGGGATAACTCTAAAGTGCCGAGAATCTATAGGGTTCCTCCTTTATTGACCAAACTCTGCAAACCAAATCTGTTATAAACTGTAGCCTCTATCGTGTTAACAAAAGGGTTGATAACTCTGGAACGACAGAAATTGCTATGTCAGAATTACAATTGGAGAATGCTGAAAATCTATTGAGATCATCTTCTATTGGTGTCTATAAATCCATCAAAAACTCTAGCCTCTATCGAGTTAACAAGAAATTTTCCTGTCAGAATGACAGGGGGCTTAACTCTGCAACAAAATATTGTAAAACGTTGAATATTGATAAGGATCATCAGTCACCAACAAGGTTTGCAATTATCACACCAATTTTGAAAGAATGCGCGTTTATAGACAGACAGAGGCAACAACTATATACGTCGCCCAAGAATGAGTTCAAAACAATAAAATTAGTAATTTTAAGGCAATAATTCTGAGCAATGTTTCATCTATTTTTAATTATGCTTGTGAAGTTGGGGTTACCATAATAACAAATCAATAGATAAAGAACTAAATATTTTTATGAGATATATTTTAAAAGTAGGTAAAAATTGCCCTGTTGCTGCAATGTTGGGCGAATTAGGAATGTTTCCAGCTATAGTTAACCGTAAAATAAGATTAATAAGATATTGGTACAAAATATTAAACAATAAGAATTCATTAATATCTAATGTATATACTATTCTATATAACGATGCGTTAAATGGCTCTCCAAACTGGGCAGCTGACATAAAATTACTTTTAAATAATGTGGGGTTTTCATATATTTGGGATCAACAAGACGCGGCTGACCTATCCATCTTATCGCTAATACAACAACGCATAAAAGATCAATATTACCAGTAATGGTTCGCCACACTGGAAGACTCAAGCAAACTTAGGTTTTATAAATTATTTAAGACTATTCATGAACCTGAAAGCTACCTTCAATCGAATATTCAAATGAAATACAAAACTATTATCTGTCATTTTCGTTGTGGTATTCTCCAACTAAATATTGAAACCGGGCGTTATAACAAAATCTATAGAAACAACAGATTATGTAAATGTTGCAACATGAGAGCTGTTGAAGATGAATTCCACTTTCTGTTGTGCTGTCCCGCTTATATTTCTCTCTGTAGAAAATATTTCTCGCGTTATTTTTGGTCTTTTCCATCACTCCAAAAGTTAATAAACCTGATGAATCAAGGAAATAATAATAAAAAGACACTGGCTAATCTTGGAAAATATTTATATTATTCAATGAAAATTAGAAATCAACTGTTAGAATCGTAATACTTTTAACTATCAATCGACCATAATTAAATATCCTTATTCTATCATATATGCTTGAGTGCGCGGCGACGGGGTGTGTATAATTCGTTTTTACTTGGTGGTGATGCAATAGATTTTGCGTGTGTAATATAGTTACATGTATAAGGGTCTAGTTTGATTTTCTTTTTCTTTTTTTTTCTTTTTTTATTATCATTATTTTTTTTTTTTCTTTTTTTTTTTTAATTTTATTATTTTTTGAATTAGTGGAATTGGGGTGCAGTGGGAGTATCAAAATAGTAATTGTTCCGATTTATTAAATTATCTATTTTATTTAAATTATCATTTGGTAGAAAGCGGGAAGGGGGGTGGGGTGGGGGCGGTATCAAAATAGTATATATTCTTTGCTCTCTCCTTCTGATATATATATGTATAAAGTGTACATAAATTTTCAAAGTATTTAGGGTAGTGATGTGAATTTGCACTAAGGGAGGTGGGGGTATTTACACTCTATTGTTATCCATACTTTTATTAATTATCAATGTATATTATTTATATTTGTATACATGTTTTGGCAACAGAAAACTTTTTGCTTCGCCTGTACTAAAGTTCAATGTGGCTACATTATATTCACTGGTTTATAAACCCATCCGAATAATGTATAAACATTTACATACAGCATGAATTCAAATGTTTACAATTTATATATCTCATTAATCTTATTGCATGACTGATCTGCTAAATACATGTACATTGTGCCTTGAGTAATAATAATAAACAACAATAAAAACATGAATAACAATGAGTAATAAAATTCATATAGTTTACCTGTTAAAACCATTTAATAAGCTTGTATCAAAAGTAGTTTGTAAAAGTGTAACATTATTATATTATGTACCACATAAGATTCTTAAAGCTATTTATTAGAGACATTGTATACAAATTAAAATTTAGTCATTTACTCTTAATTATAATTATAGGTTGCCAATCACTCATATCAGTCACAACATTTAATAAACATCTACACTTGAAGTTTGAACATGATTGTGTTCTTAAGTTTTGACTACCTGGTAAACAAACTGCTTATCTATGCTCAACCTAAGCAGAAAATGTTCATCATCGAACCTATGGCGGTATAATTAGATTCAAAATTCTAACATGCTATCGTCTAATTTCTAACCTCCGTTCATGTAATTTCTAACCTTAATTCATGTAATTTCTAACTTCAATTCATGTAATTTCTAAATTAAGACAATGTATAATCCAACTTCTTTATTTGTTCAGTGTAAATTTTAATTCTGTTTCGTCTTATTTCTATTATTAAGACGAAAAATGTCCACTTCATTGTCACTTTACATGTTAATCATGAACGTCGAGCAAATTTAGAATTTTGATACCTCTACCTAGCAACCATCATTATGACGTCGTTTGGTGTCGCCACCGTGTGCTCAATTTGCGATTGAGCACTGAGCGGGATCATTATATTGCCACAAACTACTCGCTCTTCGTCAGGTTGAATGGTTTGGCAGAGTGTAAAAATTGAAAACAACATCGAATGTGATATGGTTTGCAAATACTGTTTTAAATATAAGCTAAACAGCATTTGTTAATTTTGTTAAAGACAAGTGCAGGATTCGGAGAATTTTATTTTATTTTTATTTTACAGTTAAGCCAATTACTATTTATATACTGTTGATCTATAAATTATTCTTTTAATGCTCTAAAAATATCTCTTTATACTACCCGAACAACTAGCCACTGTCCGTGCCAGACCCTCGTCTTGTATCAATAACAAGGGACGGATAACCACGCCAGAATATATCGGTTATATCATAAAAAAAATATATGTCTATGGGTTATATAACATCGTCAGCTAGTATACACACTGGCAAAACTACGCTTTATAATGTTTCTGACATTATTAGTTCCGTCCTTGTGATTTGCGGAGGTTGCAGTTATTGTAGGCATATATAGTGATATAGTGTCTAGTAGTTCGGGTCGGACGAAAACCGTTGCAGCTGTTATTCGGAATAAAAGTAGACCGTGGCGCCGCTGTCCGGGCTAAATTTCACTCATGGCACACCGTAAGTTCGTCGTCATTAGCCTGGATGGTGTAGAAAAGTAGGACGATAAACCGCGATCTATGAATTTCGGTATTGCTTTATGCAACTTGAATAAAATATTTTTGGAAAAAAACTACCATAAAGTTAGTCAGGTCGGTATAATGAAGGAATCAGAATTAAAAACTTCATCGCTTTCCACATGAACAGATTATCCCAGTCTCCTTTAAAGGCCGTTTCATCCCTACAGTATGAGGTTTCTAAATTTATATATTTGAACCATATCAAGAAGAAGTTTATCATTTTTGTTAGAGTAGTAATAGAATACAGATTTACAGTAAATAAATATTATTGATGGCTTAACTGTCTTCAAGAAAATTGAAAAAAAAAATGCTGTTTGGCTTTTATTTGAAGTAGTATTTAGAACCATTTCACGTTCGATGTTGTTTTCAATTTCACCATCGATTCCCTGGTTGTACGTGACAAGGAGTAGGGTCGCCTGTCCAACCTCGCGGGTTTTCTCCGGGTCCTCCCACTGCTAAAGACCCCTACGCGCAAGCGAATTGTTGAAATAAATTGAACCATATGTTAGTTCAGAAATGACCTAGTTTGTGCCGAGTGGTCGTTACCCCCCCCCTCTTTCTCTCTCGCTCTCTCTCTCTCAGCCCAACCACCAACCAGACGAAGAGCGAGTCGTTTATATAAACATAATGGTCCCTACCAGGTGCGCAATCACAAATGAGCACCCAGTGGCGACACCAAACGACTTCATAATGATGGTTGCTAGGCAGAAGTGTAAAAATTCTAAACGTGTAAAGCATCAATGAAGAAGATGTTTTTCGTCTAAATAATAGAAATAAGATGAAATAGAATTAAAATTTACACTGAACAAATAAAGAAGTTGGATTATACATTGTCTTAATTTAGAAATTACACGAACTGAAGTTAGAAATTACACGAATTAAGGTTAGAAATTACATGAACGGAGGTTAGAAATTAGACGATAGCATGTTAGAATTTTGAATCTAATATACCGCCATACGAACCCAGTCAAGAGATTCATTTAACATCCATACCACACTGAACATTTTAACTCAACTAGAAGCAGAGTTATGGTGTACAAAAAAGTTTGAAAGACAAAAGAATGGACCATTTTAATAGTCGACTGCTTTCTTCAGAATTTAGTCCAACCTGACATAAGTTTTAGTCAAAACGACCAAAGGTTGGTCAATATTACATAATGTACATGTAATTGTCCTATGGTTGTGTCGAAATATTGTACAAATTATGTCGGATACATGGGGGCTAAAAGTATGAGAAAGTCCCAAAGAATAGATTAGTTAACATTGTGGGCATGACTTACATTGAACTGGGTGGGTTGGGGAGAAGGGAATTAATCAAGATCCTATTCTCACTTCAAAAGAGAGAGAGGTAAATGGGTTTTTATTTCCACTTATGTAATTTATTTTAAAAATTCACTTGCGCACTTAGGTCTTTAGAAGTGGGAGGAAACCAGAAAAAAAACATGAAATTGGACAGACGGACCTACTCCTTGTCATGTACAGTGGGGAATCGAAAACACGCCACTTGACTAATAACAGATTTTATGATCCAACATGCTCACATTAACAATTCAACCACCAAAAATCCCTCTCACTTCAAATAGTAAATTGAAAATTATTTCAAGAAATATAATATAATGCTCTACTCTTTTTTGTTACCAGTACTGTGTATGCAAATGATTTACTTCTTTTTTTCACTCTAAAGGGACTTCTATATCCTGTTTAAGTTCAGATTTAATGTAAATAATCAGTAGTAGCCATAACAACAGCACACTCTTCAGTTTTGCCACAAAAAATTTGCATTTTGTCACACGATTATTAATCTCCACGTCATAGAAGAAATTATTTAATCCTTTTCACTATCAGTTCTACCAGGACATGACTCAACTACCATAGTCAAATAAAATAAATACATTTGTTATATTGTGTATATATAGCAATAATTGAAAGTATAATAAATAACATGAGCACAATAAATAAGCTAAATCACCAGATGGATAGATGTTGTTAAAGTTTATATTGGATTCAAATTATGATTTACTGGTATCTACTAAATGACATTGTACAGCCATGAAATGAAATGAAATGGGGTTTAACATCCTACTATTCTACTCTGAATTGGGCTAATGAAGACGGGCATATGCCATACAGTGTGCTATGAGGGAAATTTTGCCCGGACAGCGGCACTACAGCCTACTCTTATATCGAATTCCAACTGTCAAAGGATCTTTTACATGCACGCAAATGTATACACGGGGCCTCAGTTTTTTATACCATCCGAACGACTAGACAGCTTTCCTTGTCAGGCCTTCCGTTCTGCATGACCGACAAAGGGGGAACCACGGTGGAAAATCTGGATGAACTTTCTCAGCCAATGGATCGAACACCTGACCTCCAGGCTAGCGAGCCAGCGTCTTACCCACATAGCCATCGTGATCCCCGTACAGCCATGATGAGCTTATATTAATTATCCCTTGGGTCAAGGTAAAATAGCTTACTTCAAAGCATACTAGCACAAACAATGTAAAACTAGATATCTTTTAGAATCTTACAATTTAATTCCTTATTAAACATACATTATGCAAGAGCTGAATCTGTCTATTGCACTTGCAGGTCTTTCTTTAGGCCTGAAATGTTATCTAAATTATTAATTAGACATTAATTAACCTATCCAGACCATAATCAACTCTAGATGGCATCGCTAGCCTGCGATCTTTAGTGGACTATGAGCTGATTTACTGCATAACTTTCCTTCATGATTTAACGATTAAATGGATAATTGAGACTATGCTGTATATCATACTGACTTTAGTAATGATGATCGAGGCTAGGCAGAAATTTCAATCGCTTAGTTCTCCGTTCATAGTGGATCAATTTGAATGAAATTTTCAGAAAATTGCCTTTACATTATCTAGTTTTTTACTATTATAGTGAGAACTGCCAACTCGATATCGAATCTCCCATAATGTATCTTTAAGTACATTACAAAACACATATCTCAATTCAATATACACTAATAAAATATTCCTTAAGTTGAATGCCAATAAAGAAAAATTTTGTTAAGCCTACCCAAAAAAATTTGGTTTGCCTACCTTACAGGTAAACCAGTAACCCTAAAAAATATTACCTTCCAATGTTGATCACAAAATGGAAATCTAAATTACTTGACTACCTTAATATGTGCCAAAAGTGAAGAAAAGACTTTTAAGTATGTACATGACTGAAAAGTATGGTATTCAAGGTGACTCTTAAAATCTAACAATGATAATCAGGACATAACATTATCACCAGGTAGATGTAGTTGTTAATCACCTTCACCTTACAACAATGTATATAGTAATCCATACAAAATTATCTACCACTACCAGTACTGAATATGTAAAAATTAACCAATACATGTAGAACAGTTTACATAAATGCAGAAACTATGTTACAACTCATTATAATAATACATACATTGTACATTACCATGTTTAACCTTTAATAGGGAGATTATCTTCAGTATAGCACATATTCCTGAAGCAATGGCCTGAGAAATCCCTACAGTAGCCATTACTGTACTGAGAGTGAAAACTTCAGTTTTTGACAGAGTGTGTCCATTCTCATTATCCAATCAAATATCTCCTGAGTACAGTAAAATAAAGGGAATTTTCATGACTGGCCGCTTTTAACAGCCATGAACTATTTTAAAAAAAAATCCCAGTGTTTGGTAGTGCTGATTTCAAGAAGATTTTACCCTTGGATGCATTGGGACCAAACATCGACACTTGCATCGGTAAATATGTCCGTCGCTGAAACTCGCTATTGCATCGAAAATTCTTTGAATCAAATCTCTGTATAAATTCTATAAACAGCACATGTTGTATTTCTATCCAGTTTGTTGAAACACAATACGTAACATGACAGCCCTTTTCTTTGATCTGGGGTCTTCAGACAGTTAATTAAATGCATTAAAATATGGTGAAAATATTATTTGTCACCTGGGTGGTCCAAGGGATGATAAAAATATTCCACGTGTGCGATTACCCAATGTTTACAATGTAGCTATTTTGAATAGCCTCGTTTATCACAATTAGTTTCTCTGCAATATTGTGTTATGCACTAGTTAATTGAGCATAATACATTTGCCACGTTACATAATATAGCTGCGATTGTCACCAGACATTTTACACCTTTAACATATTTACAGCTCTGGTTAATCCTGATTGATTTTGTTACGTAGTATTGTATTGGTTGTTGATAGGACTGTTAACCAGCCATAATTTGGGACAGAAATTTGCGGCGAGCACGGCAGTGTTTGAGTGAGATTAGGTCTAATCACACAAAACACTGCGAGGAGTATGTGTATACAATGACTGTCTTACCAATGTAATTGAATAAGGACGTTATGTTTATTATAACTTATAGTCTCTGAACATTATTTGCAGGATTTAGGAATCCATTGCAAAATACAATATTGTGAAAGTTGAATCTCTAAAATTTGATATTTTCCGAAAAGGGCAAATGAACTAGACACAGAGACTTTAATTGAGCACTATTATTATTATTGATACCAAGCTCATCTCAACCCAACTTGTTTAGAAATCATAAATTTGACACTGGTTTAATACTGGTAATCACACCTTCAATGAATGTACAGTATTAAATATGAGTAGCTAGATTCTCAAAAGGCCCAATAATAAGGACGGACAGAAGCGGTAAGAGAAATTCATCTGCCATACCACAGTTCCAAAATGAATTAATTAAAAAAGGGTTAAAGCTATTAATAATACACTAAATCCTTTCGGAACAGTTTCTGATTGGAAGGTGTCCTCTGGTCTAAAGGAACTATATAAGCTTATATATATCCTCTAGTCTAAAGGAACTATATATATATATAGATACCGAAACACCCACCAAAACCATTTATTCCAAATAAAATTTAAACCTCTTACTCTTAAATTAAATTGGCTCTAAACTAAGTCTAATAAAAGACCAGATTCTCACAACAATTCAGTTTCTAATTGAAATCTGAGATTTCTGAAGTGGTAGTGAGATTCAAGGGCAGAGGAGGAAACATACATTTATCATGTTTTACGACTTAATCGCTACAGATACCATCGATCATGGTACACCGCCGATCATCACCATGATATACCCCCCCCCCCCCCAAAAAAAAAAATTTAATAATTAAATAAAATAGCCAAGGGAAGTAGAGTAGAACGTATGGTATACTTCAAATAATCTAAACTCTTCGAACTCGTCTTAATTTTCAATGAAGATATTTTGTAAAATAAAATGTTACTAATAAATACATGACCATAATAAATCTTACATGAATCTACTAGTTGAAAGTTCTCCCAACTTCAGCAAGGACGTCGATGTGATTTCCGTCTGTCATGTGACAAAAGTTCACGGGACAGTTTAATCTCGAATATCATAACAAGTTATAACGTTTTCCAGGCAGTCTGGGTAACAAAGTCTTGTTTTCCTAAACGGTAACGCCCACCTCTGCAAAAGGAATAATTTTGACATCTAGCTATAACAAAATAAATGTTGGGTGGATTTTCACCAGATTTAGTATGAATTATCTTCCTTTGACTGTCTTACATACGTTTTAATCAAACATAAGAAGCACACTAAGTGAAAATGATGTGTCAGGGGAGATAACTACTATCATTTAATCAGAATGGATGTAGACCACCATATATTTCCTTATCCATTGAATGTTAATTCTTGTCTCCTTACCCGACATTAACATTATACATACCGAAATATTTGTTGAGCTAACAACTTTCCACCACAGACGTAGCAAAATCTGGTAATGTCTTGTCGTAAAGCTTGCATGAAATTTTGATAAACTTGAAGTAGCATGTAAACTACCCACAGTAGGCCTACATATCACTGAAACCATGCAACCTCTTAGCTCTGGTGTTCTTCCACCTTCAACCCATGAATATTCAACAACATCTAGCATAAAGTGTCAATTCCAACCCTCTTTGTCTATTCTAGACCAAATGCAAAACAAGCCAACAGTGAGGCTGATGTCCCCAGCCAAAATCCCCAAATAAATAGATGACACATATTAATTAAACGCACATCTATTTTTTTCAAAAGTATCGAGTAATCAAACTGATTATCAACTATACACTAAGTTTCATCACTCTCTATCAGATAGAATCGAAGTTATCTTGTCCCAAAGCATCGACCAAGAAAATTGCTTATCTCTGCTTAGCTTTAGCTCGATATGTTAATCATTGAACTACATCAAGTTTAAACATTCTACCTCAATTAGAAGCAGAGTTATGTTCCAAAAGTCTTGACCAATCAAAATGCTTATTGCTCCTTAGCCTAAGCAGAAAATTCTCATCATCGAAATTAGTCAAGGTATTGATGTAATGAAACTATACATCAAGTTTCATCACTCTCACTTAATTAGAATTAAAGTTATCGTGTCCTAAAGCATCAAACAATCAAATTGCTTATCTCTGCTTATCCTAAGCAGAAAATGCTCATCTTCGCACTCCATCAAGGCATTGACATCAGAAACACCTACACCAAGTTTGAACATTCTAGCTCAATTAGAAGGAGAGTTATTGTGTTCCAAAGTCTTGGCCAATCAAATTGCTTATCGCTCTGCTTACCCTGAGCAGAAAATGCTCAATATCGAACTTAGTCAAGGTATTGATGTAATGAAACTATACACCAAGTTTCATCACTCTCACTATAATTGGAACTAAAGTTATTGTGTCCCAAAGCATCAACCATTCAAATTGCTTATCTCTACAAGTACGCTAAGCAGAAAATGCCCATCTTCACACTCCATCAAGGAATTGACCTAATAAACACCTGCACCAAGTTTGAACATTTTAGCTCATTTAGAAAGAGAGTTATTGTGTTCCAAAGTCTCGACCAATCAAATTGCTTATCGCTCTGCTTACCCTGAGCAGAAAATGCTCATTATCGAACTTAGTCAAGGTATTGATGTAATGAAACTATACACCAAGTTTCATCACTCTCACTCAAATTGCTTATCTCTGCTTACCCTAAGCAGAAAATGCTCATCTTTGAACTCCATCAAGGCATTGATCTAATAAACACCTACACCAAGTTTGAACATTCTAGGTTAATTAGAAGGAGAGTTATTGTGTCCCAAAAAGCGTGGCAGACAGACGGACGGACAGACAGATGGACAGACAGACAGACGGATGAACACATTTTAATAGTCCCCTGCTTTCTTCGAAAGGCGGGGGACAAAAATGGCCCTGCAAAAGGGGCAAAAAAACAAATCAAGAGAGAGACAGGTGCTATCAATAGAAAGAAGTAAATTCTCCAGTGTCAGACAGTCTATATACCAAATGGCCTCAAAATTAGTTGTGCTAGATCCACAAATTATATTGATCCTGTACAAAAATCTATACAAAGGGGACTCCAAACTGTGCTTCATTTCTCGTTTATGATTATTTTGTGATTAATCTGATAGTTGTCCCACCAAAATTTGTCCTCCATCATAAATGGGTGTAAAATGCATTCAACTTGCCAATGTATCTCTGGATAGATAACTGAACCAAGTCTGGAGATCAATGAAATATGAGGGTTAGGGAAAGGTACATCAGTTTGTTTAGGGCATGTTTAGTCTGATATCAAATGTTGCCAATACTGCTGAGAGGTCATTGATGTACTACATGCCGAAGAGGGATTTTTTCTAGATCTAGATTTTCTTTGCAAAATGAAATCCTTATCAGCGAGTTCATTTTTAATATGTGTAGATGTTCCATTAAAATGAATGAATCTAACAAGATTCAATCTAAAGCAACAACCATTTTTATTTCTTCAATTTAAGCCAAAAAACAATTCATAAATATAGGAGACATGTCTTTCTTTTATTGAAACATATAGATCACAACCTGTGATTCACAAGAATATGATGATGAGCTACTTGAAGCTGACAACTGCAATTAAATAAAACAATTCAAAATTCTTTAAAAAAATAACTTTGAGATTAATTAATACTAGGCCTACTAATTTTTTTACAAATCTAATGCTGCTATGTTTTCAATGTACATATATAATACTGAACACATTTCCTTCAAATATAACAACCATGGATTCATTAAATTAAAATAAAAAATAAAATAAATAAAATAAAATAAAATAAATATATGATAACAATAACAATTCACATACACCATGTACATTTTGTAAATTACAAACTACATGTTAATAACAAAAACTTTGATACAGGTTAAAATTGATAGATTAATACAACTACATTTCACAACGATTTCACAACAATGCTTTGGTTGAAAGGTTTTGCAGAGATATGGCGGTTACAACAAAATCGAATGCTTTAGAGGTTTATAATAAGCCTACATTAGGCCTATATATTTCAAACTTGTACTTAAAGAACAACATCCTATAACAATAATATATATATATAAAGGCCAGTAATCTGCATCACAACCTGTTATAAGACACATTAACTTTTGCAGCAACACCCATACTTATAGTTCTCATATATTTACATTAGCTATAGCTGATGATAAGATAGGTTGCCAGGCAATGGAAGATACACTCACAGCAGCTAAGCCGTCTGAGCAATCCACGATGGTTATTCTTTTATACATAATGGGAGCATTTGAAACGATAACAACCCATGAAGTAGTTATCTGACCAATGAAGAACCCTATAGAATTTTTCGATCACAAATGGGGTTATCTCCCCAATTACATTCAAACAAAATACAGGAAATTCAGAGGGATTGTATAAGAAAGAAAAAGTTTAGAAAGTTGTGAACATGATAGCAAAACAATATTCTCATTCAACCTTAATAATATTTTGATCGTAAATCTTTGAGTAATCGACCCTCAATTTACTAACCTTAGTTTTTATAACTTGTTTAGTGGGGATTATTTTTGAAAGTTTAGATTTTACACTTATAGTTTGCATGGTCAATTTTGATCGAAAATCTTTGAGTTATCGCCCTTTTATTGCATTTTTCTAAACTTATTTGAATTTTTATAACTTGCTCAGTGTGGATTTGTTGTAATTGTACATTTTACACTTATAGTTTGCATGGATGACCTTGCAGCTTTTGGTTGTATTAGGGAGTCTGTATTAAAATGGAACTACATATAATTGAGACATGAATATAAACGTATTATATTTATAGAACCGAATAAATTCAAGTTTTTCTACTAAGTCTAATACATTCTAAAATGAAGTCTCAATGCTGATTTGTTCATACTCTGAATGTTTGTAATTGGCTGATTATATACTCTGGATGTTTTTTACACTGAATCTGAAGTTTTTGGTGCTCTCCACAGATTCTTCAATATCTTACAGATCTACTGTCCATCTTTGTATTTTTTTATACACGTGTTTCACTTTCTTTTGGTCCATGGCAAGATTTTATAGCTGAATCTAACTGTTGGTTTAAATCTAAAAAAGACATTATTTATCAGTTTATTTCTGACAGAAGATGTTTTCTGTAGTGAGGGCTTTCAGTGTGTCCCTCGAGGATACAGCTTGAATATTCTTGAAAATATCATTTTTTGCAGTCAAAAATGGCAAGCAAGAATACTTGAGAGTGATGAGATGAAATGGGGTTTAGTGTCACCAACAGGGCTAATGAAATGAAATGAAATGGGGTTTAACGTCCTAGTGTTCTGCTCTTAAACTGGGCTAATGAAGACGGGCATATGCCATACAATGTGCTATGAGGGAAATTTTGACCAGGCAGCGGCACTATCGCCTACTCTTATATCGTATTACAACTGCCAAGGGATCTATTATGTGCATTCCAATGTATACACGGGACCTTGGTTTTTCGTATCATCCGAAGGACTAGACAGCTGTCCTTGTCAGGCCCTCCGTCCTGCATCAGGGCTAATGAAGACAAGCATATGCCATGCAGTGTACTATGAGGGAAATTTTGCCTGGACACCATCGCTGCAGCCTACTTTTATTCCGAATGCCATCTGTCAAAGGTTATTTTACATGCACAACAATGTGTACACAGGACTTTGTTTTTTTTATCTCATCCAAATGACCAAACACTGTTCCTTGCCAGTCCCTCAGTCGTGCACCACTGACATGGGGAAACCATTGAATTTCGTTTTTTTTGTGAACTGTATATGTACATTTCAGAAAATTGATAAATTTTGGTCAAATTTTGTGGGTGAATTGTGTACAAATATCCAACTTACGTTTGATATCGGCAGCCATATTCATATTGTTGAAATTAAGTAAGCTCATACTGGAGTCTTGTGTAACCAGACTATGTCTGATATTAACCATAGAAGACTGTCGACTAGCTAAAGTACACATGTAGTCTGGATTAACCAATAAGAGTTCTTGTATTTGATATAATTTATTACTGATATCTTTACCAACTATGTGATGAAACATTGTTTCAAGATAAGGATCATTGCTAAGATGGTTTTGTAATGTTGGAAAATGCCATGTTATTAAACAACTATCTTCTGATGCTGTAATGGAAACCTGGAATATATATTAATATTCAACTGCTGAATAAAACATGTAAGAAACAGTATACAGGTATGATTTTCAACTAATAAATCTCTTAGCTACATAAACACACCACACTGCAGCAGTTCTCTCACAGATGTGGTTTCAGGTGTTCCAGAAAGATAATGTATATCTTGCCTCATGTACCTAAGAGAACAGGGCTGGTCAGAGCTGATGGAGGCAACCATGCCTCAATAAAATTTACAAAATATACGAGAAGATATGCATGTCTGCACGCATAATGTATGCTTATTGAAGCATATTTAAAATGAATGAAATGGGGTTGAAAGTCCTACTTTTATGCTCCAGCCGGGCTAATGAAGATGGGCATACAGTACGTGCATGCCAAGGTGTACATGGGACACTGATTTTTTGTGCCATTCAAACAACTAGGCCCTCTGTCTTGCTCCACTGACAACGGGAAACAACGCTGGAAAACCCCAGGGAAGACACAGTGCCTTTAAGCTTTTCAACATACAATAAAATTGCCAATAATGTTCTAATAAATCAATTTTCAGAAGCCTATTCTATATTGATGTAAAAGCTTCCTGGATATATTTACCTGGTATTTTTCTTCTTCATCAATAGAATAGGTCATAGAATCTAACTCAGGTGAATCAACAAACTGATTACATTCAATAAAATGTAAAAATAATCTGTTATAAGTCACCTTTAACCTGAAATAAACCAAATTTATCAAATATTATAAATAAAACAAATACAATAAATGAAAGAACTATAATAATTGAAACAAATGATCACAATGTCCTATAAATGCATAACACTTGCTTCAACACAACTGGTAGGCGAGACAGGGAGAGTTCTGTTAAAAAAGACTAGCTTACTTCGATTAACACATCTGTGAATATAAACTGTTGATGCTAGTTGATTCGACATGTTTACAGAATTATAACACAATTACAGCCTGCATATATAGATAAAGCTGTGACCATAAAGTGCACATAGCCCTTGTTGACCTTCAACAGAAAGACAGTTTCAAGCAAACTCAAGTACGAATATTCCACCCTCGTAGACTGTGTAATGATTTGCCTGTAAGCAGCTCTCCCAATTTTGGGTTAACTCTTCCACCCACGGATCTCCTAGAAGCATATAGCCCTCGTTCACCTTTAATAGAAAGCCAGTTCAAGCAAATTCTCAAGTAGGAATAGTCCACGCTCATATTTTTGGGTTACTTTTTCACCCACAGATCTCTTAGTACCAATTCAAACACAAATTACTGAAATTTATCAAGGGATGCCAACGGATGAAAACCTTATTATATCTTGTTGTTCTGAGATCAGAAAATATCGAAGGTTATTTGCTGATGGCACAATTTACTACAGTTTATAATGAAAATCAAATGAAATGGGGTTATACTTCTATCTTATATCAAAATTTCCAACCACCAAGGGATCTTTTACGTGCATGCCAATGTGTTCACGGGACCTTGTTTTTTTTCATCCCATCCAAAGGACTATGCATTGTCCCTTGCCATTCCCTCAGTCCTGTACCACTGACAAGGAGAAACCATGCCGAAAAATCCTGATGAACTTTCTCGGCCAACGCAGGGATCAAAGACAGGACATCCAGGTCTTGACTACAGTTTAATAACCAGTGGCTGCCAGGCAGGATACGCCCACATTTTGCAAGAGATGGATAGAGAACAAGCTAAAAACAAAAACAATTTTTTTAACAATCAGGGGCCATAATCCAGAAAGTTATGGTCTGAAATGGACAAATATGAAAAGGGACTGAGATTTTTGGAATATAAAGATATGTTTTAAGTTTTATCAAAATTGGATAAAAATTGTGACCTCTAGAGGGTCCATAACCTTTGTATTACATACTTATACACAATTTGTGTACAAAGAACGGACATTTTGTCGGTCAGTTTCAGTTTGATTTTTCCAAAATTCCAATTAAACCTTCAATTCCAATTATGGTGGAATGGTGATATATCTAAACAGTTGTTAAAATCGGAAAAAAAATTGTGACCTCTAGAAAATCCACAAGCTAAAAATGTGATTTTTTGACCAATCGGGGGAGAATCCAGGAAGTTCTGTTCGGATATGTGTGATTATCAAAAGGAATCAAGATCTTTATGATAAAAACATATATTTAAAGTTTCATGCAAATCTGATAAAAACTGTGGCCTCTAGAGGGCCCACATAATTGATATACCATATTTTTACACTATATGTGTACAAAAGGTGGCCATTATGTCTGTCAGTTTTTAGTGTATAACTGTGATATATTCACACTTTTTTTTTTTAAATCGGATAAAAATTGTGACCTCTATAGGGACCACAAGCTCAAAACGCGATTTTTCGTACAATCTTGGGCCATAATTCAGGCAGTTCCGATCCGATATGTGCAATTATAGATAGGAACCAAAATCTTTGGGTTATAAACATGCATGTCAAGTTTCATCAAAATCCGATAAAAATTGTGACCTCTAGAGTGTCCACAATCTAAAAACGTGATTTTTCGTACAATCAGGGGCCATAATCCATGAAGTTATGGTTCGATACATGCCAATATTGAAAGGAACTGTGATCTTTTGGAGATAGACCTATATTTCAAGTTTCGTCAAAATCGGATAAAAATTGTGACCTGTAGAGTGACCACAAACAAATTATGGACGGACGTCCGGACGGACAGGGGCGACGACAAAATGTGGGCATATAAAAATTACTTTTATGTATGCTTTACAATTGTTTACATATAACAATAATGCTTTTTAAAAATACCCAAACAATTATCAATGATTTTAAGATATGATAATTTTATCAGCAGTTTAGTCAATATATATATTTATCCACCACTCAAATCAATCTAAATTTCAATGCTGATTTGCATGACATTGTGCTGCAATTCGATATAATCTAACAATTTTGTTAAGTCTATTACTGGTAATTGCTCTGATTAGCTAACCAAAATAGCCATTAAGGTACTCTGGAGAGTTCAGAACATAAATAATAAATGTAGTTAAACACATACTTGAAAACAGAAATTTGAACTCAACTGTCATTAGAGTGTAACCTCTAGAGGGTCCAGAACCTTGATATACCATATTTTTTACACTATTCTGTCCGGCAGTTTTGGTTCGATTTTCACGAAATTTGAACTCACCTATCATTATGGTCTAATGGTGATATAATCAAACGGTTTTTTTTTTAAATCGGATAAAAACAAGATCTGTGGGTAATAAACATACATTTTAAGTTTTATCAAAATCGGATCAAAATTGTGACCTCTAGAGTGTCCACAAGTTAAAAACAAGATTTTTCGTACAGTCAGGGGCCATAATCCATGAAGTTAAGGGCCCACACATGACAATATCAAAAGGAACCAAGATCTTTGGGATATAAAACTATATTTCAAGTGTGATCAAAATCGGATAAAAATTGTGACGTGTGTAGTGTCCACAAACAATTTGTGGACGGACAAACAGACATCTGGACAGACAGGGGCGAAGACAAAAATGCCATGCAAAGGGAGAAAAATACAATTGCTGTAAAAACATGCACTACAAATCAGAGGTCCCGAGATGGTGAAAATTAATTGTTATCTGATGAAGAGTTGTTTCCCCTTAATACAGAGATTTTGGAAATTGCAAAAGCTTAGTAAAACTGAACTGACAAGATATAAATGCAGAAGACCAGAGATGAAAAATAAACCAAATTATTTAAATCATCATTGTTGTCTAATAATTAATACTGGTCACAATCCTGTACAAAATAGCACCATTCAATAGTTAAAGTTTACCTAACATCTTTAACTTTCTGATGGAAATATATTACAAATATCGATTAAAAACTAGAAAAGAATGAATTCAGACGTGACTGACAAATCTAGTATTTAGGCCTTACAACATTATTTATTTTCAGGTTTTTCTTTAGACAAAAGATTTCCCCTTGTCAGTGGTGTAGAACGGAGGGACTGGCAAGGGACAACATAAAGCTGTTCCAATGGGATGAAAAACCGAGGTTCAGTGTACGCATTGGCGTGCATGTAAAAGAACCTTAGACATAGGCAAGAGTAGGTCGCATCGCCTCATAGCACAATGTATGGCGTATGCCAGTCTTCATTAACCCAGTTGGAGCAGAACAGTAGGACTTTAAACCCCATTTCATTTAAACAAAAGAAATGCACATATTATAACCTATAGCCTATAATATGTTTAATTCCCACAGGAGAAAAACATTGTAATGGTACCGGTAGTCTGTTTTGCATCATATTATTATTCTACAACATTATTTGTTGTAATTTTCTCAGATTTTGTATTGATTAGATTCTTATTTCCATGACAACCAATGACCTTGTATTTTTCATCAATATTACTGGCACCATCATACACAAATTATTTGTGTCAATCTACATTTTTATAAAAGCGATTTGATAAAAAAATGTGTAAAATAAAGATTAAAATAGAAATAAATCAAAAGTTAGCCAGAAAAAAAATTGCAACACATGGTACATCATTATTATGTTGAAACTGCAAAAAAATAAATTATTAACATGGTTTATTTGTGTTTAGCGATCTTTAGAATTAAGAGAAAAACAGAGAAATCCCAGTGGATATTATGCATATTTTAATCACAAATAATGGCTACATAAATATCTTGTCCTAACTATAACTTAATTGGTTGTGACATGGTTGGTGTAAAAATAGTTTCCTGCCAAATCATTTAGAGCAGGAGTGGCCAACAATTTACATGCACCAATGCACTGAAGGTATTGTGAATCATCTTTATGTAATTAAAACCAAGAATCTTTATGCTGTGTAATGTCATTGGTGTGTTCACAAGATTATATAACATAATCAAGGACAATAACTCTATAAATATATATCAGAAATTGTATTAATTGTTATTATTCAAAAACCAAGAACATAAATTGCTTTCTATAAAAGTATAAAAGGGCCACAACCCATTAAGAGTGTTCACAAGTGAAACAAGGCCCATAACTATTTAATGGAATTTGCCAAAATTTAAAAGCTGTCCTCATTCCACCAATTTGAATAATGCATACAAATTTCATACAGATCAGATGAGAACTTTCACATTTAGAGCATTCATATGATTCAACAAAGTGATACAAGAACAATTACTCTAGAAGTAATTGATGGAAATTTTTGAAATTCATAGGAGTGTTTCACTAATTTCAATAAGGCATATAAATTTCATTCAGATAGGATGATCATTTTAGCTGTAAGAGCCTTAACTCTAGAAGCAATTAATGGATATATGGTCACATACAAAGTTTCACTAAAATGGACGAACCGACTGACATACTGTGATGACATTACATTCATACATGAAAAGTGAAAGTATAGACTGAAATAATTTCATGGGATCTAAGAACTTTGATACTCTACCTTCCTTTTACCAAAATGGATAATTTTTCACCACATGGTGTTATTCCTTGTACAGCATATAAACTTCCTTTAGCTAAAGTTATCACAGATCCTAGCTTACATATTTCTGCAAACTCCTTTCTAGTCATATGCATTGGCCTAAATAGTTTTTTATACATTACTTCTAGTTGATGGTGTAGTTTAACTGGTATCATTTTATATCCAATAAAAATCATGTGGCACAAATTGAAAACCGAAAACACAATGTGCCAGCCAAGAACATCCGGCATACAAACTAGCAAAGAAGACCACAAGATGAAAAGCAGAAATCCAATTAGCAGGAACGACCTCAGACAAATTGAATGGAAACGGAAATTACTGGGGGTAAAAAATGATATTGCCAGGCACAGATTGGCCAGTTGTAATAACGTGTGTTGAGCATCTTGCCACTGTTCACAAGATTCTGCAAATTTCTTTTCTAGAGCCAGGTTTGTTTCCGTCTCTGTAAAAACAGTGGATGTAGCAGGAAGCATATTATTGTTGACTCTAGTATATTCAGTGGAAATTGCAGATAAAATAATTGAACTTTGATTAGCAGACGCTGTGGATACATTGTTTATTGCGTCTGTCCAATTTCTTATGAATGTCATTCTAGAAGTTGAATTGTTTGTCTGTCTGGATCATCTGTCACATACATGGATGGAACATCTGAAAATAGATCAAAAGAAAGTTTAAATTATTTACAGGAATCAAATTGACATATAAAACAAAAAAAAACCAAATTTATATACCGTAGTAAATGGATTTGCTCAATTGTTGGTTTATCCAATTGTAACCGCTAGGTTCTTCAATAGTAATAAGTCTGGAATGGTTCTTCAATCTTTTAATTGCTGAAACTTATATCTTACAAATTACAATAATTTAATACATACAATGTACACCTACAGCACAGTGGTGCTACTAAGTGGGGTGACCAAATGACTTAACTATTGATTGTTGTTGTTGTTTATTACAAATTTAATGTCCAATACATAAGGCATGATTTTATGGACAGGTTGATTTAATTAAGTTATTTGCATATGAATGAGTAATATATAGAAGATAGGTAAAAATCGCTGTCATGAGAAGAGAAGGTGGGTCATCTTCTCACTTTGTCATAATGAAAACAAGTTAAAACAGGAGGTCCAGCTGTTTGATGCCATCACAGCATATTTAAAAAAATTTGCGGGAAAAAGAATCTGCTGTTTAATGTGGAAAAGCGAAGTTCTCGCAGTAAAAACCACATAGCTGGATCCGTGGAGTATTTAAAAATAAAAATGTTTGTGTGGTTCTTCATTACATATAATAAAAGTTAGTTAAAAAGTCCTTTGACACAGATCACAAGTTTGGTATTTAAAATCATTTATTTTCTGCAGTCCATTAAAATTTTTCTTTGATGTACATTAGCCTTTTTATATTCTAACTATAACTGGATACGCTCAAGTGTTGACATCAAAACATCTACTATACAGGATTATCACTAGAGACATTAACATAAATAAACAATAATGGATTAAGTTCTTAACTAACTAGCTTCTACTCTGATTGATATTATTAATACACATTAAATACTATCTAAAACTGTCTGGTCATTATGCCTGGTCATACAATCTAGCTCAATTTACAATTATAAAAGTTTCAATATTTAATTCCAGGACACATTTTGAGAAGCAATACATGCACTTATCTCTTAAAATGATTAACCGCATAAATGTCAAATTTAACCTATATATCTTGAAGCGCAGCAAAATATCTGGGAAACTGTAAGTCCAAGCTGTAATCCCTCTAGGTGAATCAAATTTCAGTTCCAGACTGCGGAAAATGTTCGGGACTAATAAGGCAGTAACGAATTTGAAAGATATTTTACATACATTTGATTACCCAGAAAATCATTGAGCAATTTGAAATATCAAAGAAATGTAATAGCTCAATTTCCTTACAAAATGAGAGTATAATATTACATATCATTTCATTCATAATAACCAGTAGATATTCTTTTGTGATATTAAGTTTGCAATATTCTGTTTGCATTCAAGTGAACTGGATAACTATAGTTTCCAATACCAATTATATTCCTATTCATGATAAGTTTCTGTAAAAGTACTTCCTTGTCTAAATCCACAATCTGTTAGACAAGTCAGACTAAATATAAAGACTTAATTACTTGCTGGACTTGAACTGATATGTGTGTGTTCAAAATAACAAATGCCATGTTCTGCGATATATAAACTCGCTTTGTGTTCATGTAGAAACTAATTTGTAGGCAAACAAAAAAAATATACAGAAGATATAAATAAAATTAGATTAAACTTGTGGGTGTAAGGTATCTTTATGTTGCGTCATCTTGATGGTTCTGATTTCTACACTACCAGTACTTATTAAGAACTAACACAGGCCTATGTAACAGTAAGGGCAGGAGGATTGCAGTCAAGCCACACACAAACAATTACACAAGACACACCTGCGGACAGAACACAATAATATACAGACACCAGAAACAACAAATGCACAAGTAAATGGAAATCTCAGTGAGTTTATACATAGATTAGTTGACAATGTCTCAGTGTGATTGGAATATTAGGTTTTCATCTACAGCACACAAATAGACCACAACACAAAAATGAGATAATTTGCCAACCAGCCCCTAAAACATATGTCCATAGCATATTTATCCTTTTGTAGATAATGGCACTAAAACTGATCAAGTCTAATAACCCATGAAGTAATTATCAGAAATAATTAAATTTTGATTGGCTTCTTGTTCTCCCTAGTACCATTGTACTAATTAACCTTTATTATATAAATCAGATGAGAACTTTGGCTGTTCGAGTTATCAAAAATCAGATAATAACTTTAGCCACAAGAGGGTCCACATCAGCTCTTCATATTGCTTTAACATGAATATTAACAAACACATTATGACAACAGGACAAAATATTACAGCTACCCAAAAAGAATGAAAACTGTGGAAATCAAACAGATTCTTCATCTAAAGAACTTAAACACTGTGTGTAAGATTCAAGTCAATCTAATAATAATTTAAGCATCCACAATATTTTTCAATAAGCTGTACAGCATTCACAAGCTATTGTGGATGATTGACAGACAACTATATAATATGACCATATTTCAGTGTGGGTATATAAAAATGTAACTTTTACTGTAGTGTATAAATATAGTTATAAAGCTAACCCTCTGTCTTGCTCTTCAGTGTTTTATTGATCGATTTGCCTGGGGCAGGAGAGGGCCTGACTCAATGCTTCAGGAGCTTGATAAAGATCAAATGGTAAAATTGGTCCTTTTAGAAAGAGACACATAATTACAAATTGAATACCATCAATGTCAAACAATAATTAGAATCAAGAACTCTGTGCAGTTTAGGGTTCTTAACTTAATATGTGACTACATGTGACATATCGGTAATAAAGATCAAAACCATTAATTAAAATTCAGTATTTAAAGGCCTTTTAATTACTACATGTTTCACAGATAATTATTTTCAACAACCAGCGGCTGCTAGACAGGATACGCCCACATTTTGCAAGAGATGGATAGAGAACAAGCTAATCAAAAAGCGATTTTTCGAACAATCAAGGGCTATAATTCAGGAAGTTACGATCTGATATGCGTGATATACTAAAATGTTTTCTTAAATCGGATAAAAATTATGACCTCTAGAGTGACCACAAGCTAAAAACGTGATTTTTCCTGCAATCAAGGGTCATAATTCAGGAAGTTACGATCCGATATGCGAAAATAGTTATACATATAGGGGGGAGGGCATTTTGTCTAGCAGTTTTGGTCCGATTTACATGAATTCGAACTTAACCAACAATACTGTGGAACAGTGATATTATAATCGAACGATTTTTTAAATTAGATAATAATTCTGACCTCCAGATGGGACCACAAGCTAAAACCGCGATTTTTCGTACAATCAGGGGCCATAATTCAGGAAGTTACTGTCCGATATGCGCAAATATTGAAAGGAACCAAGATCTTTGGGTTATAAACATGTATTTTAAGTTTCATTAAAATCGGATCAAAATTGTAAGCTCTAGAGGGTCCACAACCTTGATATACCATATTTTTACACTGTTCGCGTATAAGGGGCGGCCATTTTGTCTGGCAGTTTTGGTCCAATTTTCACAAAATTCGACCTCAACTGTTATTAAGGTGTAATGGTGATATATTCAAATGTTTTTTTAAATCGGAATAAAATTGTGACCTCCATAGGGTCCACAAGCTAAAAAACATGATTTTTCGTAAAATCAAGGCCCATAATTCAGGAAGTTACGGTCTGATATGCGCGAATATCGAAAGGAACCAAGATCTTTGGGTTATAAACTTACATTTCAAATACCAGCAAAATCAGATAAGCTAAAAAAGTGATTTTTTGTACAATCAGGGGCCATAATCCATGAAGTTACGGTACGATACGTGCCAATATTGAAAGCAACCAAGATCTTAGGGAGATAAACCTATATTTCAAGTTTCGTTGAAATCAGATAAAAATTGTGACCTGTTGAGTGTCCACAAACAATTGTGGACGGACAGACAGGGGCGACGACAATATACGTCCACATGAAAATGTAGGCATATAAAAATGGCTTAGATATTTAGCTTGAAGTTGGTAAACAGTGCAATATCAATTTTCAACCAAAAAAAAAAGCAATTATAAATTACCAAAACAAACAAAGCAACCCATAACATTTAATTATGTGCAGTTTCCAGTTAAATGATTTGGAAATAAATGTAAAGTCATTTTTAAATGCAAATATGATGGAAATATTAAAGACCAAAATGTTTTTTTTTTATTATTAGCTACTAGCAGGATACCCGGCTTCGCTCGGGGGTCATAACTCCGAAACCGGAAGTGGTAGACTAACGCCACCTGGCCTATGTTACTCCCCGGTCCGAGCTACCTATAAAACCCAAAATTTCAGACTCGGGCCAGACCTAGTGTAGCCGCCAACCCCGAACAGACCGGCTTCGCTCGGGGGGTCATAACTCCGACACCGGAAGTGGTAGACTAACGCCACCTGGCCTATGTTACTCCCCGGTCCGAGCTACCCCTATACCCCAAATTTCAGACTCGGGGCAGATGTAGCCGCTAACCCCGAACAGACAGAATTCGCTCGGGGGTCATAACTCCGAAACCGCAAGTGGTAGACTAACGCCACCTAGCCTATGCTACTCCCCGGTCCGAGCTACCCCTATACCCCAAATTTCAGACTCGGGTCAGACCTAGTGTAGCCGCCAACCCCGAACAGACCGACTTCGCTCGGGGGTCATAACTCCGAAACCGGAAGTGGTAGACTAACGCCACCTGGCCTATGTTACTCCCCGGTCCGAGCTAACCCTATACCCCAAATTTCAGACTCGGGGCAGACCTAGTGTAGCCGCCAACCCCGAACAGACAGACAGACAGACAGACAGACAAACGACAGTCACAAATATATACATTGTATATAGATTATTGGACTGATGACGTGACACATTCCCTCTTTTTTTCTTGAACCACCATTGCAGATCATAAATTTCAAACATGTCTGCAAATTAATGATTAATGAGTGTTTAAATGGTGAGATATTCATAGTATATCTTAAACTTGATTAATTATCAAAAGTACCAGAATATATCCTTTTCTGACTGATATAACACTCCAA